AACTGACCCAGTAGATTCAAGCACAGGTATTTTCTGTGGAACCACAGGTAATCATTCACACACTTTCACAACAAATCCAACAGGCTCGGGTGCAGATTATATGCCACCATTTGTGACTGTATTCGCATGGTACCGCGTTCAATAAAATCTTTAACTTTACATAAATGAGCTTGAAAGAAGTATTCGAACAACATCCATGGAGGTCATTTAAGAAGTTCAATGAAGCAGCAAAAAGTTGGGGATTTACTAACAGAGCTGAAGTGAAAAAGTTCTTTGACAAAAATGTTGTACATCAAACAAAAATAAACCCTTACGACTACTTTTTACCAATTTACTCCAACACTCCTGACGCATACCAATTTGACACTCTCATTCAAAGCAGAAAAGGAGGACATAAACCATTCCTCATCTTCATTAATGTTAACACTCGCAAAGCTTTTGCGTATATAATGAAAAATAAAGGAACTCGTGAAGTGTTAAGAGTTTTACAAAAGTTTGTAGCAGAACATAGCCCAAGTACTTTAACATCAGACCAAGACAGTGCATACCTCAGCAATGAAATCACAGATTTTCTCATTAAGCATAACATAACTCACTACACTACTGAAGACCATAACCATAACATACTCGGCATCATTAACCGCTTCATAAGAACGCTCAGAGATTTAAACCAAGAGCGAGACTTTACCGAAGAAACAATGAAACACTTTCTCGAAGTATATAATTCCTCAACACATTCTACAACAGGACATACACCAAATTCAATGACACAACAACAAGAAGAAAAGTATATACAAAAGAAACGAAGCCAAACACAAAATATCAGAAATTCAACACAATTTACCCTCATTCCTGGTACAAAAGTTCGTGTAGTTCTTGACGACAAACCGTTGACAAAGAAACGTTTAAGGTTAAGTCGAAATTATTATATAGTAGACTCTCCGCAAGGTAATGGATATCTTATAAAAGCTGCCAACGACTCTATTGCGTTTTATCCTCGTCATAAATTAGTCGAAAGTAGTAATGGCAAACTTGCTGAAACCATTGACGAAGCAAAGCGAGGAGTGGTTATTGAAATACTTGGCTATAACATAAACGATGACACTTATAAAGTAAGATATGAAGGAGGCGTTGAAGATGTTATACCATCTAAGAACTTGAAGAGAATCTAAACCAACTCATCTGGGTCCATTAGAGCGGGAGTACTGGAAAGATAAAAACATGCCAGAAAGAATAAGAAAATTCTTCTAAACTTTTTCGTTGGATGTAAATCAGACAAAAATATATTTTAGGTGAAGAGGTGAGATTTCACCTGTTTTCTCACCTGTTTTTTCACCCTCACCGCTTAGCGGCTCAGATTGCTTTTGCTTTCTCGTGAATTTTCATGAATTTCCTTAAGATAGAAAAAATAAAGTTAGTTTTATTTTTATTTATTTTTTTATTTTGTATAAAAGATATGATTTCAACAATCAGCACAACAACAATTCAAACAACTTCACCAAACTCGCTAGTCATGAATCCAACATCTATGTTAGTAGAGATGAAAAGCTTCATTCCTTCTTCATATACTTTTGAGACAGAAATACAAAGAATTAAGCAAGAACTTTTAACAAGTAATTTAGACTGTAGTGCGAAAGATGAAACAAATGAACAGTATCTTTATGACATGCAGGACATTATTGACCATTTACCCAAATTGCCTGAAATTCAGCAGCAAAAACTAACTATTCCTGAATTCGATGAAATAGAAGTGAAACCAACTGATTCAGTAGAAATAAAGAAGTTCATACGTAAAGTAAACTATGAATTCCTTGGTTTTCATTGCAACCATAAAGTTATGGACAAAGATTGCGACATGGTATATAAGAACATCTCTGACATATATAAATCTGGGGAGTTTAAGACATACGACAACTTTGTTTCATTAGTTGCTGAATGTGTATGGCAGATAAGAGATAAAGATAAAAGATGTAAAATATGGAATGGACAAATAAAACCAACAACTTTTGAGTTAAAGAAAACCATTGACGCCTTAGTTGTTCTAGCAGGTCAAATTTCAATGTATAACGCAAAAATGAATCCGCAATGTTCAAAATGTAAAGCAGCAATGAGGAAATATAACTACTCCGTCAAAGAGATAGAACGTATGAGAAACGACTATGCTGACTTAAAGAAAGAAGTAGAGAAACCAGCAGAAGATAAAATGGACATGTTAGCATTTCTGAACAAAAACTATCCAACAGCTGACGATTTCCTTCTATCTGACGTCAAGAAGAAGTATAAAGAAACTTTCGGCATTGTTAAACTTTTGACATACTGACAGAAGAAATAGAAGCTACGAAATTGTTTAGAATTTCAAATATACATCGTACAATTCATGTAAAACGCTTATAAAAATAACTGAGGTGAAAAATTAGGTGAGAAAACTGGTGAAATCTCACCTCTTCACCTAAAATATATTTTTATTGAATTCAGCAACAAAATTCTGAGTAAAATAATTTTTAGGGCATGTGTCAAACCGTTGAGTTTTCACAAAATTTAAAAAATAACGTTTACCATGTAAAACGCTTATAAAATAACTGGGGTGAAAAATTAGGTGAGAAAACAGGTGAAATCTCACCTCTTCACTAAAATATATTTTTATTGAATTCAGCAACAAAAATATGAATTTCATTAGTTAGAAAAAAAGTTAGTTTTATTTTTATTTATTTTTTTATTTTGTATGTAAAGACAGAAATGACAAACATTGAGTTTGAAACAGTTAGAAAGATAGACAATGACACCAAAGTGGTTAGAATAGGTGATTTAAACGTAAGATACTCAAAGAAATACAACAAATTTTCTTTGTCAGACATTATATCTCCATCTGAAAAGAAAACAAACCATTGGGTTAGAAATGCTTCAACTCAGAAAATTTTGACAAGAAATCCTGAGCTTATGATATCGGTAAGATTCTATGGAACTACAGCATATCTCATTGACAAAAGTCTTATACCAATAGTTTTGTTATGGTTAGACCCAGTTGTTGGATATAACTTCATAACTTATGGTTCATTCGATACGGAACGTTGCAGTGAAGGCTTACTTTACATCGTTCAGAAACCGAAAGACTTCAACACAAAGAGATATAAGATAGGAAGAACATATAATATAACTCAAAGATATGACAGTACAGTCAATAGAGTCAAGGTTGTGTTCGTTAATGATATGAGAGCTGCAGAAACAGAACTACTTGAAAAGTTTGAGAAAATGTATGGTGCTCCCACGAAAGGTAAAGAAACGTTTGAAGTAGATGAGATAGATAAAGCTATAAAATTATTTGACGAAGTTGCTGAAAAATACATGTAAAGCGTTTATTTTTGGTCTTTTGTGAAAGTCAGAAAATAAAGTTAGTTTTTTTATAAAATATTTTTTTATCCGGAATATAAAGACAGATATGTCAACACAGAGAACACAACAACTGCTATCGTTCATGAAGCCATTAATGAAGAATATGAATACATACAATATAACAAACAACTTCGCCTCATTCGTTCGGTCAAAGACGATATGTACCAGATGCAAAGTATAATGAATGCTCTTCGTTCTACAAAGCAAGCATATCATTGGTTTGAAAACCAACAGACAAAAGAACTTTTAAAAGAATTTCCTCATATGATTGCTTCCCTCGGAAAACCGAGGGAAGAGATTCCATTCGAAAATCGCAAGAATTTGGCTCCTTGTTTGAAAGGTTATTATGTTCATAGACTTTTAGTAAATGCTGTAGCAATGTGGGCTTCACCTCGTTATGCTTGTTATATTTTCATGATGTTAGATGAACTATATAAAGCAGAACGTGAAGATATGGAAAAGAAACTTCATGCAAAAGATGAAGTCATTGAATCCAAAGACAAAAGCATACAGAAAAGAATACCACGTTCAGTACCAAAAGGAAAGGAAAAGAGTTATAAGTATATGATATATACTGAAGAGTTGGAGAAAGAAGAAGATAAAGATATGGTTATGTTGCATTTAGTCAGAAGAAACAACAAAGCTTTTACGACTTAGCTAAAATATATAAATCTGACAGAAACTGGTTCTATCGTGAAAACTTACCGATTTCAATGACACCGAATGAGAAATAAAGGAAATTTCAAATACTCTTCCTCAAACACACTATGACATCAAAGGTTGCACAATACTTACATTCAAAGAAGACTTAACATTACTGAAAGAAAAGATAACAGAATATTTCGACAACTTCAAAGAGGAAGAATGAAAAAAAATCTCGTCGGGTGCCACATTAGAACCATAGTGGAGAAAACCATGATAAAAACAAAACGCTCCATGTCGATCATAATCGACGAAGTGCAAATCTTCACTTCGTCAAGTTTATTTTGTTTTTACCATTTAAGTGTTGTAAAATGTCGATATGAAGACTAACCAAAAATATATTTTTGCTTAAATAGCTTCAGGGTCTATTTCTTCAACCATTTCACTTTCTTCGTCAATGTCAATAGAAGCTTCTTCAACCTTTGGTAAGAATTTCTGTATAACATCTTTGTTCGTTATTGTCTTCAGAGATGAAGGATAATATTTCACATTTGTTTCACCCTTCTTATATTCTTTCTGTTCGGAAAGATTCATAGCAATACTGAAGAAGTCAATGTTAGAGTTCTTTATGACAGTATAATGAGTATCTTTGACATTCACGAAGAAACTCTTTTGTTTCAAAACTACTGCTAACTCTTGTGAAGTATAACGTTTGCGGTCAATGACAATAGCTAATGGTCTGACATACTGACCAAACTTAGATTCTTTCACAAACTTCTTGTTAAAGATAACATTGACGTTTGCAGCACCATTGAACTCATTCTTGATGGCATTAGCGAGAGCATTGTATGAAAAGAACTTGCAATCTTGCATGTGTTTCATTATAATAAAAATTAAATATTTTAAAACTAGCCTTAAAAAATCTAAGCTAATTTTTTTCTAAAAAATTTTTTTATTTCCTACTAAAGATGTATCGGAAGTTATCTAAGTTAGAACACTCGGAAATAAAACAACTTCTTACAGAAGCTAACATAGATGTTGCAAAACATTACGCGACAAACAAAAAAGCACTCGCTGACATCCTCAATGACTACAATGGTGAAATAACTTATGATAGAATTCATGAGTTCATAAATGCAAGAGCATTTCCTTTAAATGACGTTGCTATTGACTTATATCATAGACGTTCAGTACCTCATGAAGTAAGAAGAGAAATGTTTGACATAACAAATGCGAACGTTGGTCATACTCGTAAAGCTCTTTCGCATGATGTTCGTCAAGAGATGTTTGAACTTACGAACTCAAACGTTGGTGAAACACGAAAGAGAGACGACACACTGAAACAACAGAGAAGAGAGATGTTTAAAAGTGCTATAGAACAAGTTCGCAAAGCTAACGATGTCATTCGTTCCATTGACGACAAACCAAAAGAAGGTGAGAGATGGTTAAAGAAAGATGAAGAGAATAGGAAGAGAAATGTGAAGTCAGGCAATAGACTCATTGACTTTAACATCGAAGCTTTAGATGAACCAAACAGAGACTACTTACACAAACATTTCGGTAAGGTTTTCATGAGACTCTTAGAGAAGATTAAAATAAACTCCCAACAAAGATGGATGGTATGTTATAAACTTGGTGGAAAGTATGAATGTTCTACGTTAAACCTCAATAATATTGGAACATTACTACATCAGCTCTTGAAGGAGAACTTTATATCAGAGATAGAAGCAAATGCTGCAGGTATTGTTGAAATGCACTATGACTTCTTCTTGACAAACATAAAGAATCTTACTGAAATAAAGATGTATGATTTAACAGAATATGAAGGCTTAACGATGTCAGATGTTAAGAAAGGAAAGCCACAGAAGCGACCATATAGAGATGAAAGCACACTGACAGAAAGACAGAAAAGATTATTGAACAGACTTAAACAAACAGGAGATAAACAAGATATAGATGACTTCTGGAATGAAATCCTTGGTGAAAAGAAGTTTTATAAGAAGAGAAGCGGTCAGTTCTGGAAGTATCTTTGCACATTACCTATAAATCTTGAACGCTACCAAATCTTCAATGAACTGAACAAAAGAACTGCAACACTTATGACAGAGGACAATTGTTTCGTTTATGCTTGCATTCAGGCTGGAGTAAATGAAGAAACTATTGACCACATGAGAGAAGTCATTCGTGTTAGAGACTTTCCTCAAAGTAAAGTACAAGAAATTTCTGACGCAACAGGTATAGCATTTAATGTTACCATTGGTTACTTCAATGACTCAAGACATAATGAAATAAAGAGATACATACCAAAAGAATGTAAAACTGTTCGAACTATTGACTTACTTCTTGTTGAAGACCACTACATGCTAAATGAAAGACTTCCAATGACAACATATTTCATTCGCAACTATATAGAAATCTTGAAGGAGTGTGGTGGAATGAACATTGAGAAACAGATGAAGATTTATACAAAGAGAGAAGATAAATATGTAGTTCGCATGGATAGAACTACACCGCTATGGGATGTTATGAAAACATTGTGGGAGTGCAAATATTTCGAACCTATTTCTTATGGAGAACTTTTCACATATACGACTGACTTATATAAACAGAACCTTGCACCATTTAAAGATTTGACATATGCTCCAAAGTATTGTGTACAACTGAAGAAGAAAGCCGAGTCAAAAGAAGTAAATAAAGCTAAATGTAAGTTCATTCCTGAGCACGTTTTCTTTGCTGACTTTGAGTGTAGTACGGATGGCTTTCATAAAGCTTTTAACATCTGTTACGACAGTGAAGATGGTTCAGTGAGTGAAAGCATTTGGGGTCAGAACTGTGCAACAGAATTTTTGGACGACTTCCTGACAAGAGTTTAATATATTTCCATAACCTCAGCTATGATATAAACTTCATCTTAAGACACATGACAGAAGTGAAAGGAACTCCCATCATTAAAGGTTCACGAACAATGCAAATAACTGGCTTATATAAAGGAAGGGCAATTATTATAAAAGACTCTTACAGTGTTATAAATAAGAAGCTTAAACTATTTCCTGCTATGTTTAACTTACAAACAGGACCGAAAGAAGTATTTCCATACAACTACTACAGCAGTACTTTGTTAGCAAATGACAACAGAACTGGTGTCATTTCTGAAGCGTGTAAGTTTATCCAGGATGCAGATACATTTATGAAAAACATAGATTCCATCAAAGGTTGCAGAATAGATGAAAACCACTTCGACTTAGAAAAATATAGCACATTCTATTGCAAACAAGATGTAAGAATTTTAAGAGAAGGTTTTGTTAAGTTCCGCAATGACTTATTGAAAGAATTTGATTTAAACGTTTATGACTACGTTAGTATTTGTTCAATTGCTAACAAATTATTTGAGAACAGAGTGTACTTCCCGAATGGAAATTTATATGACCTCTCAAATAAACCAAGAGAATTTATTTCGAGATGCATTCAAGGTGGAAGATGTATGCTGTCAGATAACATGAAACAAAAGAGCGAAAAGAAACTCATTGCTGACTTCGACGCTGTTTCATTATATCCATCAGCTATAGCAAGACTTTATACTTTAGAAGGAATTCCAAAGTATGAAGGATGAGATGTTAAGCACAATATTTGAGACATTTATTCGATGACGACCAAAAGGAACCCATTGGTGAAAAGTTTATGTCTGGCTTCTTTGTTCTCATTAAGATAACAGAGATTGGAATACATAGACACTTTCCTTTAATAGTTTGTGACCCTGAACTAAATCCAGAACTTAACGTTCCCAGAAGTTCAAACACTTGCTGTTTAATGTATGTTGACCATATAACATTACAAGACCTCATAAAATATCAAGGTGTCAAATGTGAAGTGTTGCAAGGATACTATTACGATGGAAACAGAGATATTAGAATAAGAGATGAAGTAAAGAAGTTGTTTGAGTTAAGGTTAAAGTATAAGAAAGAAGGAAATCCTTTGCAAGAAAATATAAAGCTCATTCTGAACAGTATTTATGGCAAAACTATTCTATCTCCTATTGAGTCAAAAATAACCATAGTAAATGACAAAGATGCTATAAGATATGCCATCAGAAACTACAACCATATAGTGAAGTTCGAAGGTTTGGATGGTTCAGATAAAACTATTTTCAAGCTAACGAAAAGCATTTGCAGACACTTTAACTTCTGTCCACTTGGTGTTAATATTCTATCTATGTCGAAGAGAATAATGTGTGAAGTATTCTGTACTGCTGAAGACTTAGGAATGGACATCTTTTATAGCGATACCGACAGTATGCATCTCTACAATGAAGATATCCCTCGTTTAGCTGAAGAGTTTGAGAAACGTTATGGAAGAGTTCTCATTGGTAAAAACCTTGGTCAGTTTCATAGTGACTTCGCAGAAATAACACCTGGAAAACAAAGTTTAGCATACAAGTCAATATTTTGTGGAAAGAAGACTACATAGACTTACTCACTAACGATTTAAATGAAGTTGCATTTCACTGCAGAATGAAAGGCGTGAAGCAAGATGTTATTGCTTTAACCGCTAATGAAATGTTTCCTGACTCTGTTCAGTGTTTCTATGATGAAGATAAAGGTTTAATGGTTCCGCAAGGAAAATTTGACAAAGACTCTGAGTTCAGTTTAATGAAACTTTACAAAGCACTTTATGACGGTCAAGAGATTGGATTTGACTTATGTAAGTCTTCTAGTCCTTGCTTTGCTGAAAAGTTTAACTTCTCAATAACGACTAAAACAAGCTTTATTCGTAAGTTGAAGTTCTGAGGTCATTTATTTTTGTCAGCAGTGAGGTCATGAATGAGGTCAGCAATGAGATCATGAATGAGGTCATGAATGAGGTCAGCAATGAGGTCAGCAATGAGATCATGAATGAGGTCATTTATTTTTGTCAGCAATGAGGTCATTCGTGATAAAAATAAAGCTAGCGTAGATTTTACAATACTGCGATGGTAGAGTTTAAGAGTTGTGCTTCAATGTAGAGACAGTCCTTATGGTCTGGAGGTAAGAACACTGGGCAGTTATGGTCATGAGTGGAGAACATGTCTATCCAAAACTCACGATTGAAGCCAGTTAATTTATAGTATTTAGGGTTAGGAAGTGGTGAAGTTCTTGTATGACCAATGAACTCATTTTCAACTCCCTTACTTAAGTTTGAATATAATATAGCTTGCTTTCTATCCCAAATGCCAGGTGTTACAATCTTTGAAAATTCATTTTTCCTCGGAAGCATTGCATCATAATTGAAAACATTCTTGAAATCATCACTTGGTTCAGAGATTTGAAATCTTATACGTAATGGATTTTCTTTCTTTTAGCTACTTCATTGAATGGTGAATATATAACAAACTGACAGTCATGAGTTCCATCTTCATTTTCATTAAATTCATAATGAAAGTCTATAAGTTGTGGCTGACTACCTTCTTCTTTCAGTTGTGCAAGAAACTCACGTAAAGGCTGTAAAGTTTGTACTTCAATGTTGAACTTTTTCTCGAACATCTCATTAAATGAAATCATACATTGCAACAATGTTGTATCGTCTTTAAAGTATTTGTATATGTGAATGTTTTGGGCGCTTAAAGACTGTTCGTCATTTTCTATCTCGACTTGAAGTATAAAGTCAACCTTTCTGAAAGCACGTGTTATATACATAGATGTTATGCCAATGTACTTCTCTTCATTTATGTTCACAATCCAGTCTGTTGGAAACTTAAACGTTACTCTGTTCCCCTTTATTTTGACGTCAGGGTTTTCACTACTGAACGCAACAGTTAAAGGTATTTGTCTATACATTTAATTCGGATAAAAATAAACCATTTACTCTTTCTTTGCTTCAGCTTCTTTAGCTTTTGCTTCTTTGTTTTTGCTTCTTCTCTAGCTTTCTTCGCCAGCAAACGTGGGTTCTTTTGTCTTCCAGCAGCTAATGCAGCAAGTTGTTTTTCACTAAGTTTTCTCTTTGGTCTCTCTGGCTTTTGTTCTTGTTTTTGTTCCTTCAGTTCGGATAAAATTTGCTCGCGAATTTCTTTCTTCAATGCTTCAACATCTATGACCCCTTGGGTCTTGTCCGTAGGGCTTGTCTGAGTCATTTGACTGCAGATAAAAAACAAAATTAAAACTTTAACCGATGTAAAATGAGCTTGTCAAAATCAGAGCGAGAGTCTATTATATTAAATGACGCAAGAGGAATACAACATCCTTTCTATTACGTAAGTCAGAGTAAAGATGGTAAAATATACGTAAGAAAAAGAAAGGTTCCATTAGCGAATACAGAGAGCGACAACATTAAGGTGTATGGCAAGGGTGAAGTCCACGAAGCCCATATAAAACCTTCTATTCAAACTGAAAAGTCAATAGAACCAGAAGAAAAGAAGCCAGATGTTCTTTCAATAACGAACCAAGAGCTTATTGCAAAGTTCGTGAATTTCATTGAAAAACAAACCGAGTCAAAGAACCCTGACCCACCAGTGAAAGAAGTTGAGACAAAAGAGAATGTACAGTTCATTGAAAATGTCAAGAAACAACTTCCACCACGAATGCCAAGAAGAAGAGTGAGAATAATGAAGTAAATAGATATTTTTATCGAAGTAAATACATGCAGAACGAACAGTTAAACGAATTTACTCCAGCAGAGCATATTCATCAGATTCGCTCATATTTCGATATCATAGACAATGCAGTTCAAATTGGTGACACTAATAGAAAATATTCTGACGCAAAGATTCCATCACAACCTGGAACTGCTAAAGATAACACATGGGTAACATTCAATCTCTCACCTCCTGGTGAAAATATGTTGGACCTTTACAATACATTCATTACGTATAAAATGGAAGGTCAATTTATTGTAGATAAAGAAATTGGTTCAGGTTCCAATAAAACAAACCCACCAGGATTTTGGATTGGTTTCGATGACGCTTTCTATGCAGTTGCTGGATATCAAATCCTTGCAAATGGTCGTATCGTATATTCTCAAGACAACGCAAGAGAAGAAGCATATATAACTTCAAACTCACAAACTACCGAACAAATAAAGAAAGTAGATGTTTTCTCAAAGACTCGACATGAAGATGTATGGAGTCATTCGGGAACATGCAGAACAGGACAAATTGTTAGTGGTCCAATTACAGCAGGAAATCATTTGATTTTAAGCTTCGTTTAAGAATTCCTGTTAGAAGATTCCTTCCATTAGAAGCTATTCGATTTATTCCAGCTTTTGCAGGAAACATTCAGCTTAAAGTAAAGTTCAGTAGCGACGCCTTACAATGCACATCTATATCTGTAAATGATATCATTGCTTTCAATCCAACTCTTAAAGTTGCATTTGCTTCAGATTCAAATCCACCGACAAATAAATTTGTTCCATGGAATGAACCATTCACTATGATAACGAAGGCAGTAGAAGCTAGTGGAACAGTTACTATTACAACTGTAACCCAGCAACTATTTCGAACAAAGATGGATTTTAATGAATGTTTCATTCATCCAAAGTCATTCTCTTTAGACCCTAACATTTATACAGAACTTGTAGAACATTATACAAACGAGGCTTTATGTTTTCCTGTTAAAGTTATGGATTGGATTCCTATGGACGGTTCATTCTCAAAGAATACAGATAGTTCAAGTGCAACATTTACAGCAGCTTATACGCCTATTAATGTTAAAAGTATTTGGGCACTATTTAGAAAGAAAGACAACTATTATGTTAATTTTGAGAACCCTAAGTTTAAATATCTTCAGCTTTCCATGGGAGCTTATGGAAATATGCCTGCAGAACCTGAAAAATCATATGGACCTGTATTTTATGAAATGGTTGCGAACGCTTGCAATACAAACAATGATATGATAGGATTTAATGAAGATGTTATGAGGTCATTGGTGGATGATGGTAGTGTGGAACATAAATGGGATAGCTATGACAACACACATTTCTTATGTGGTTTTCCAACAGAAGTGGACTTTTGCTTCCAGCAAGGTCAAACATCTACTGCTCCAATAACATACAAATTGTCTGTTAAAGGACCTATTGAACTAGCAACTGAAAATGTACCAAAGCCACTTATTGGATTTATGAGGGATTGTTGCTTTGCCATTCAGGTGCGTGCTAATGGAATCCCCATAATAAGATTAGATGACTATAACTTAGCTACGGACGACAGTGAGGAATAAAGGATGAACGTTTATTTTTAAAGCTTATAAATGAGTTCTTCATCAAGCTCTCGTGAACCTTCACCATCTATGAAACAAACTTTACCAAACGATTATGGAGCACCTATTGAATATTTCTTACGAGCTGCACAATGGCAAAGAGCAGTCTCACCAAGGTTAGGTGTTCCACCAGCTCCTGTCAAAAATAGCATTTGGTCAAGTCCTTATATAAGATATGGTCTCCCACTAGGTTTGCTAGCTACAGCAGGAGCAGTTATGATGTTGAAAAGAAATAAAGCAAATGTTGTAAATAATACTGAAGTAGCTGAAGTTAAACAAACTCCAACACCTTCGCCAAAACCAACGCCTTCACAAGCAAAACCTTCAATGACTCCTGAACCTATGGAAGTACAAACTCCTGTTCAAAAGTCAACTCCTAAACCGACTCCAACATTTAAACCAGAACCTACTCCTCAAATAAATCGTAAAACTCCTGCGTTTCCTTACTGAAAAAATAACGTTATTTTTTATTTAATATTAAAATTTTTATTTGATTGAAATGACAAATAAAGTCACTGAAGCAATGAAACAAAAGTTTTTGGTAGAATACATTAAATCAGGAACTATTCCAGAAGGTTTTTACATTCATACTATGAAGGATGGTAGAGTTCAGTTTAGAAAGATAAAGCAACCATTAGATAAAGAAGGAATTTTGAGAAAGATTAAACTTCATGAGGACAACATTGCTGAACTTAAGAAGAAGTTAGAAGAGTTGGAGAAAGGAAGAGAGTTATAAAGCAATGAATTCAACAGGGTAGAAAAGAGGTTAGAAATCGGGTTAGATATACTCATCTACCCTCTGTTCAAATAAATATGGTATGTGTTGGTAGAATAATTTAAAAAAAATACAAAAAAAGTCCCTTTACCTTTGAAATTTGGTCTCTAGAGCTAGTTTGATATTCATTCATTCTCCTTCAATCTCATTAAACCTTGGTTTCTTCTTTTTCGTTTCCGCGTGAAGAGGATAATACCTTGTTTGATTTCTTTCGGAATATGATAAATCCAAGAAGTATTGCGAGAATTGCAACAACAATTATTACTCCAACAGCAGATTATACATATGAAATATAATTAAAAAAAATGTTTAGTTAAGGGTGCACCCGTATGTACGTTTATTTGAGAGGAGGAGGATTACCCTCTCAATTTTGAGGGATTCGTTAGTTTATTTTCTCGATGAATATGCAATAAAATTTGATTTTTACCTTATCAATATACTTCATATAATATACACATGTTCATGTAAAAACTTTTTTCCAAAATCCTCAGGAATTAAGGGATTTTTGAGTAGGGGTAATTTTAGCTAAAAGTGACACACCTGTAAAAAGTGACACACCCGTGAAGGGTGTGATTACCGATCGGTAATTTCGACAGTTTAGAATTTAAAATTTTTTATGGAACTGTTGCGAGTTTCATAAAGAATTTAAGGAATATAAGCAAAGATTTGAATCAAAATCTTAGACCTAAGCCGCTCGATTCGCTCGCGGCTTCCGCGAATTACAGATCAGCAAAGATTTGAATCAAAATCTTCGAACTAAGCCGCTCGATTCGCTCGCGGCTTCCGCGAATTACAGATCAGCAAAGATTTGAATCAAAATCTTCGAACTAAGCCGATCGCTTCGCTCGCGGCTTTCTTTATTATTTTAAATTTGCATATTTCCATCAAAAGTTCATAAGGTAAAAAATTTCGTTTATTTTTACTAAGAAAAAAGGTTTTTGATAATAAATTTATTTTATTTCGAAAAAGTAGCAATAATCGTAAAAGGGTATTGATAGGCTTGCTAAAGTAACTAATTTTAGCTGTCAAATACTTTTGTATTTTGAAGTAAATTAGTATAAATTTGTTTTTACTTTTATTTCGAAAAAGTAACAATAATCGTAAAAGGGTATTGATAGGCTTGCTAAAGTAACTAATTTTAGCTGTCAAATACTTTTGTATTTTGAAGTAAATTAGTATAAATTTGTTTTTACTTTTATTTCGAAAAAGTAACAATAATCGTAAAAGGGTATTGATAGGCTTGCTAAAGTAACTAATTTTAGCTGTCAAATACTTTTGTATTTTGAAGTAAATTAGTATAAATTTGTTTTTACTTTTATTTCGAAAAAGTAACAATAATCGTAAAAGGGTATTGATAGGCTTGCTAAAGTAACTAATTTTAGCTGTCAAATACTTTTGTATTTTGAAGTAAATTAGTATAAATTTGTTTTTACTTTTATTTCGAAAAAGTAGCAATAATCGTAAAAGGGTATTGATAGGCTTGCTAAAGTAACTAATTTTAGCTGTCAAATACTTTTGTATTTTGAAGTAAATTAGTATAAATTTGATATTATTTTAACTCCCTTTGAAAACCTCAATTTTCCATACAGAGGGAACGGGAATAGCATCCAATATTCCCTGAGAATGGTTGCGCATTCTCAGTTCCCTCTATATTTCGAACGAAGCTCTCATCGGTCTTTTTTTTTAATACTAAACGTTTTTTTTTCCTGTCACTTTTAGCTAAAATTTGGGTTTGCCCAATGTTAAGTATCAAAAAGAAAGGAGGTCTGATATAGACAACATATATCGTTGAAGGTTGAAAAAATCTCTAATATTTGAGCCCAAAATTTCAAATTTTAATTTTTTGAAAAAAGAGGCCACCCGTATGTACGTTTATTTGAGAGGAGGAGGATTATATTTTTGAAAGGGTGAAACATTATGAATATGTTAATTATATAATAATATGTATTATTATAAAAAAGAAAAAATAATGCACGTTAAAATTTTTCTTTCTTGATTTTTTACAAAATCTACTTAGAATTATGCAAAATATGACTAAATAATTATAAATTTCAAGTTAAATTTTAATTTTGATAAATAATTTAAATTTCAAATATCAAGTTCAGTTCGACTATGTATGTAGTAATTCCTAATAAAGTGCCAAAACCCTATTAAAATATATGAACATTTCAACATTTAATGTTTTTATTTAAAATTTGATGGAATATGAGCTTCAAACAATTATTATGTAAATAAAAATAATTAAATATGTATTTATTCGTAATTACAACCGTAGTAAGTCGATTCTTCCTTTCTTCTACTGAGTTTTGAATTTGATTTCGAATTGTAAAGAGATTCAAAGGGAAAATACTAGCGGATAAAAACTACCTCCATGAAAGGGTCATAATGGAGTCAAGTTGTATTTTTTGATATTTTTTGCTTTTCGAGCCTAAATAGGTAGCCAAGATAATGCCTAAAAATAAGGTTCTAAATTCTGAAGTTTACATGATCCTCTCGTGTGCACCCTTAAGTTTTGAATCATTTAATACTAAATTTTATCAACTGTTTATCAGATTCTACATATGAAATATAATTAAAAAAATGTTTAGTTAAGTTTTGAATCATTCAACACTAAATTTTATCAACTGAAAAAAAAAAAAAAAGGTAGTGGGGCCTCCAGGCACTTCGTGCCCTCTAGCCCTGAAGATGTTTAGTATAACTTTGTCCGGACAAGTAAGGGTCTATCGTCGCTACAGGAAAAGTTACGGGCGTTCCAAGGAAGTATACTTTGAGAAGCCTTTTCTCCATTTTAAAACAAGATAGGACGGTTATTTTACAAAACTGACAACACTTTGACCGAGTAGTTTTTTGTGCTGAACAAAAAGTGTCATATAAACATCTGTCAAAAACCGTTTTTTACTTCACTTAAAATGCCACGTAAGCTACGTAAGAATATGCGTAAGAGGAAGAGAGCATTGAAACATCCAATAGTAAAACTGACACCACAACAACAGTTGCAACAACAAATTATGAATGACCCACTATGTTGCAACAAATGTCAAGCAACCCTATGCTTTTAAACCGAGTTATTGGTGCACAGAGTGGAGGTTTAAGAGCGGCACTTTTAGCGAAAATGGCAGGCTATGGTGGAGCTGCAGACGGAACAGCTTATAACCCTCAAAGTCAAATGAATTTGAGTTTCACTCAAAAAATCAAAATAACAGATGTCAAAAAGTCAAACATAGCATACAGAAACAAATAAGTGAAAACGAAAAGAAACTAGAATATGACAGACACACAAAGAAACTCAATGAGTTAAACGTAGAGAAAAAGAAGAAAGAAGAACAAACTGAAAGAACTAAGTACAGAGGAATATGCAAAAAAAGTGTCAGAAAAAGCAGCAGAAGTAGCAAAAATGGAACAAGATGTTATAAATTTGAAAAACCATACTACTCAATATAAAGTACTGAAAGATGAAGAAATAAAACAAAAAGCCCTGAAGACATATATGGATAGCGATGAGTATAAAAAAGAAGTTGAAGCAAATGTAAAGGCAGAAAAACTTTTACAGTTGCAAAACCAAACCGTACAGTATGAAGAAAACTTAGCACAAGAAAGTAAAAATAACGACGCAGCCATGCAAAGGCAATGAAAAGCGCAGAATATATAAAAGCTAATAATGACTGGTTAGATGCCCCAAGCCAACGCCAAAGCAGCCCAACTTATAGGGTCAATAAGGACAAAAATACAAGCGGATGAAGACAGTTCAAATGAAGCTTTAATGAATGCTGACTTTAAGAACGCCTTCGAAGCTCTTCATAGTAAGGTGAAACTAGTGAACGACTTCTCATCTGGAAAGAAACTGAAGTCTGAAGGTTTCGACAAAGAGTTAAGAGAAGTAGCACAAAATATGACGAAAATAACAGATGCAGCAAACGAGACAGGCAGTTCAAAGTGCCTATGACGCCGTTAGAGCAACTGTTGTGGAAAGTCAAGAAAAAGAGTTACAACAGACCAAAACAGACCTAGTAAATGCTTTCTTAAAAACGAAAAGTCAGGTAGGACATTATGCTGCAGATGGAACATATGTGCCAGCTGGTGGAACTTATATACCACAAACCTCCAAGAGAAGCACCTGCACCAGGACTACCTAAACATTTACATCGTCACATGGACACAGACACAGGCATGCACCAAAACCAACACA